TGCTGAACAAGTCGCTAGTAACATTTTTATACTGTTTGTGGCCCATTCTTTTGGTTATGGAAGCCAAATGGTTTGCAGAGAAGAGCAAGGAAGGATAAGCAATGTGAAGAAAAGGGAAGTGTTCTCAAGTTGTTTCCTTCCTTTAAAAGGGAAGAGCTTGCAGGAGAGAATGCAAGCTGTAGAAATGTGTCCTTTATTAGAAAGGAATCTCAGTCTGTATTGGCTAACTGGTAAAACAAGTTGCCATCTTGAGAAACAAACCCAATAGCTTCTTCATAAAAGTATACTACTCTCTAATCCCCTTATCTATTTTGTTGGTTTCCCATTTCAATTTGTTATAATGGTCTATTCTGCCCGTTACCTGAAAGAGTGGGAAGAGTGAAAGAAAAACAATGGATTGTCCAATTTATTTAGTGTTGAAAGGTTAGAAATGTCTCTCTGTCACAGAGGCAGAAATAAATGAATGCAAGTCTGCTAGAACCAATAAAGCAAATAAGCAACTAATTCACTGTGATCAGGGGTAGAAGAGCTGACATTTTCTGACACCAGTACAAATCCAGATCTGATGTTCCAGTATTCTGGCTTTCCTTGGCCCTGCCTGATAGCCTGTCCAGCCCTGCTATGCCTCAAGAAAGTGAGCAGCCGGCTAATTGTTTTCAAATTAGCTGCTGCTTGAACAAGGGCACTCAGAGGAATAGTTCAGACTAGAGACTGCAAAATTCTCCCAGCCATCACCAACACAATAGCTAACAGCCTCTCTCTGCCAAAAACTAACCACAGTCACAAAGGTACCAAGGAAAGACAGCTGCCGGCTAACAAAGACATTTCCTGTTCTCCCCAGAGATGCCCACGACAGTAGGTGTTGCCTTCTGGACAACTCAACATGGAGTTGCTTTCCTGGCTCCCAGAGCACACCACAGGAACTGTCCTCTAAGCAATTTTGCTTGTGACATAGCTCTCATAGTGGGCTCATCTCTAATCACCTCCAGCTCCTCTAGTGATTTTATTTTGTAGTGGGGTACTGGGCCTTGATTTGCATCCGACTCCTGAAGCAGGACATGATATGGAAGGCTAGAATATTAATTCTGATACACAGCGTAGTCCCAGTGGTATTAACTCCTAACTGGCCAATAATCCTGCCATGAAAGAAATCTCTGCTTTCAGCCCAACTTCTTTAAGTCACTGGAACCTGGCAGATTTGACTCTAAGCCTTAGGAGGGCCACCATGCCAGGGACATGAGAGGTAGGACAAGTGTTATTCCTGAGTGAGGCTCCTGCTCCAGCGGGACAAAGAGCAGAGTCCATTAAGAAGGAGATCAGAGCCCCACTTCTCTCTGCTGCCCTTATTCTTCCCAGGCAGGAAGTCCTGCCCCCCAAACTCACTCTTGCTCCTGTCACCTCATTTCCATTAAAACAACCATCTAGTGCTCCCTCCCTAAAAGGGTTGATGCTTTATAGAAGTTCCCACCCCACCAGCTTTTGATGGCAAGAGATACTTGCACTTGGCCTTTTGCTACTTCAACCCCCCTATGTAAATCAGGATTTGAGATGGGTTGTGCACCCTCCTGACTCTCCCTATTTCTCCCTTCTGAGATAAGCACGTTTTCAGCTAGCACACCTGCAGCTCAGCCACTGTTTCTCCTGGCTGTTTGGGCAGAATGTATCCTGATCTGTACTGTCAACTACCATTGCTTCACACTGGACTTTGCACTTTCACAGCTGCTTTGAGCTTTTTCTGCTCATTGGACTGTGTGTCTTTCCCCCTTCTATCTACTAAAATATCACCTAACTAGTTCTGTATTCTTTTCCTCCTCTCCTGTCTCCTCTCCTCTACATTTTCCTCTCCTCCTCTCATTGTCCCATTTCTTTCCCTACTCTTCCTCTTCCTCCCTTGATGATCCCTGACAATAGAAATAGCTTTTGTAAATCTTATCACATCCTTTGTTTGCCACAGAATTACATATGGTATTTGTGACTATCAACCTTTATTATGTATTATAATTTAAATCATTCAATGTTATTTAATATTTAGATGGCATGTGCTTAGAGTTTCAAGATGTATACACTTAGATTTTCACGTTCTTCTGTGGACTTGTTTCGATTCAATTATCATCAAGCTTAAGGACACTATTTAAGTATCTGAAAATATTTTTTTCAGTAAAAGAAAGAGTCAATCATGAATGGATGTTTCAAGATGTTGGAGGAACTTTGCTTTCTGTTGTTGCTCATTTCCCAGCTGTGACATTTCTAAACAAAATGGTAAGATGTGGCAGCTCAGCTCTCAGCTGTTAACTTACCATGAGGGTGAGAGGTCCATTATTTAATAATTTGAATTCATAAGAAAAATACTTTGGACAAATCTAAACATAATTAGGAAAGTACAAGTTGTAGAAGAGTCAAAACAGAATTAGTATTTGATACTCTTTGATAATGAAGGTAATACAAAGTTCAAGGGAAAACCTACTGTTTTATGACATCAGCCTGTACAAAATATTTCTTTAGTTTTTTTGCTACATATTTGAAAAATAGCTTTACAGAAAACTAGACCCCTATGCCTAGTTACTTCTTTTAATTGCTTCATTATTTTCCAGGGAACTTCAAATAGAATGAGAATGATTAAATGTTCTGAAAAAAATTAATATTATTTACATCTCGTGAGGCAGAGAGTGCTTACCACAGGATGCTTTTTGCTATATATTGAGCATCCATTTTTTATCAAATGCTTTTCATTTTAGGAAATGGTACCCAGAAGAGGATAATTGAAGTGGTAGTGTGGTGGGGAGGGAGGCTTGGGGAAGATTGAGAGCTGGTAAACGGGGAAGGAGGTTGGTTGTAACTGCTGAACCATCTTCTACTTTGATTTCTCTGCTCTGTGCTATCTCTGGAAAGCAGTATGTCATCTAGAACTGCAGCGGAGCAGATTCATACATATTTACTAGTTGCAAATTATAAATGTGCGGCCCAGAGAAGAGCAGTGCTCTTTGTCTTTCTGCTTTTCTTTCTTCCCTAATGATTCAAAACTCCTCTATACACTCAGAATTTGGAGTCTTGTTTTGTAGCTTGTCATCTCCTTTGTACATCAGTTAGGTCTTTGTGATTTAAATGGAATTCTACTTGCAGTTGCATTTTATTTTCCTTGCATGGAGGTCAGCTGAAGTTCTCTCTGTCCAGTGTCGAAGCTTTGATGTAATGATTTATTAAGGTACTAGGAGAGATATTGATCCTGCTAATAGCTTCTGCCTCGCCACATAATGTTTTACATTTTACTTGGCTAAAAGACCATATTCCCTCTCTCCCCATCTGATTGACCATAAATGCTTTGGCCTTTCTTCAGTAATTATCTCACCAAAGCAGTGGGTAAAAGTCAAGTATTTATAGACTAATTAGTGGAGTCAACATGTCAGGATGGAATACTTTACATAATCTCAAGAAGTATGGCACATTACTGAAGAGGTGGGTGTAAGGCAAAAGACAAAGGGTAAGACTACAAACATCCAAAGACATACTTCCTTTCATGGTTGTTGCCTTATCAATGATTATTAGGATTCAGCCAGGGTGATGTTTTAGTAATATACTTTTAGATCAATCTCCTTTAACTTTTTAAAATTATTTTAAAAACATGTATTACTGAGGAATCAAACCCAGTTCTTTATGCATGCTACACAAGCATTCTACTACTCAGCTATATTTCCAGCCCTCCTTTGACTTTTGAAATCTTTGGACTATTACTGGGTATGAGATGTTGCAGTTTCAGATTTTCTTTCTTTTTGTTTTGAGAGTTCAATGTCTCAATATATCAATGGTATTATTATTTTTTATTTGTTCATTTGTTTTGGTTTTTTGGTGGGAATGATATTGGAGATTGAACTTTGGGCTTCACACTTGCTATTCAACTGCTCTACCACTTTAACTACATCTCTACCCTTTTTAGCTTTATTTATTTATTTTTTAAAAGAGAGGGACCCATGCTTTTACCTCAGATTTTTATATTCCTGTATAGGTGGAATTACAGGTTGTGAGCCACTGCCCCTAGCAATAATTCTTTTTTTGGGGGGAGGGGAAGGAGAAGCAGTATTAGGATTTGAATTGAGGGCCTTACACTTGCCTAGAAAGTGATTGATCTATTATGCTGCCATCCCATGGTATCATTTAACACTAGAGCTCTTGGATAGATAAACATTGATTAGAATGCAAGGATTACTTTGTTGTATATGAAATTACTTTCTATTTTAAAAATGTGTTAAGAAACAGTGATTTTTTTGGTCTGAAGATAAAACAAACATTTCTAGTATACTAGAAAGCCTATCAGGCAGAGAGTCTAAAAACCTAGTCTGCCTCCTGCCTTTGTCACTTGTGCCCCCTGGCATGTCCCTGTTCTAGCCCCTGTCCTTTGAGTACCAATTTTCTCATTTTGAATTTTGAAACTAAATATACAAAAATATAAAAATCCAAAGTGATCATGAACGTTCAATTATTTTATAAATTGCATAGTACTCAAGAGCTGAGAATTTTAAAGAAGAAACTCTTAAAAAGATCATTTGCAATTATATAACAGCTGTGAAAAAATATTTTCAGGATAAATGTAGGCAGAAATAGTATTACAGTCTAGACTGTAATGTAAAATTAGTAATGATGCTCACTAGTATCACCCATGGCCCTTCTTATTCAAAAGGCCAAATCTTATGCCTTTTGTATCTATGTACATTTTGAGGTGGTTGAAAAAAAAATCTCTTCGGATTGTCAGGAGGAGATTGTAGAATTTCTTTGGAAATAACCAGATATATCTCATTCCCAGGACCCATATGTAATCATTCATCTTTTCCCCAAGAGGCATTATTGAATTTTTTGCTTTTTCACAATATTCTAGACCTGTAAAGTGAAACAAAACTGATCACAAACCAGCAGTACTTGAGTATTATGTCTGCATTAAGTGAGCATTACTATATGGTATATTCATTGTCTTGTTCTTACTTCACCCCTCTACTTTCTGTTATCTTCAGGAGCTAACAAATCATAAAGATAGAATCCAGAGGAACACTGGTCCATACAGATGACATCAGAAAAGGAGAAAGTAGTCATATTTAAGTGAGTCAGTTTTGAAGAAGTGGTGAGTACTTTGAGACCAATGAAATACAAACTTGGTTTTGCTTTTCCATTCTTGTCATCAGGGCAGCCAAGTATCAAGCCTAGTCTATCTTCTGTATATCTTTGGTGTTTTCTCCCCTCTCTCTCTCTCTCTCTCTCTCTCTCTCTCTCTCTCTCTCTCTCTCTGTCTCTGTCTGTCTCTGTCTGTCTCTGTCTGTCTCTGTCTCTGTCTGTCTGTCTCTCTCTCTGTGTCTGATGGAAAATGACTGATGGCCTTCAGACTACACATTGCAAGTTTCACTAACTTAGCACATAGATGTTACATCTGTAACTTCCTGCCCCACTGCCATGTTTAAGTACTCATGTTATCTTTAGATTCCTCAGACTGTTCCATATCCTAATTTGTTCCAGGACCCCGCAACTTCCTTTTCTACCCCCTTTACTTTCTCTCCCCCTACAAAATAACTCAGGCTCCAAAATTACCTTCTCTTCCTTGGTATTAGCACAAACTCCCATTCTTATTATGGCTGGTTAAATTAAGACAAAATTATATTACTCTACTAATTATAACAAAGTATCTATGATCTCCCAAAGGTGTGTTTGAACTCTGAGGGGAAATAAGCCTTCACATATGCTGTTTGATTGGCTAAAGTTTAATTTGTTTATTCTTCACTCAGCAGATAACTGAGAACATAGGTTGCTTTGGTATATTAAGACCTATGAAGGGCTGTGAGGTTTGGTAGAACCCTATGGGTGAGTCACTTTTATACTGTAAATTATGACATTATCAGAACATTTTAAAATTATTAGTGTATATTAATTGTAGAAAGGGAGCAATTCATTGTGAAATTTACATATACATAGAATGCATTTTGATCACATACCTGTTCTATTACTCTTTCTTATCACTCTTCTTCCTACTCTCCTTTTTAACTTTCTTACAAGTTTTTATGAATGAGTTTCATTAGTCCTATTTTACATGTACTTCACTCACAGTGCTCCCTCTTTTCTCACCTTCCATCTCCTGCTGGTTTTTCCCTACCAAATAGACTTCTTTACATGTTTATGTCCTTTTCTTGTTGCTTTTAGATCTAGATCCCACATGAAAGAAAATATCTGTCTGTTTTCTTTGTTCGTTTCTGAGTCTGGCTTATTTTGCTTAATATGATGAGTTCCACTTCCATCCATTTTCCTGCAAATGACATAATTTCAGTATATCCTTTATGGCTGAATAATATTCTGTTGTATATTCATTGGTTGATGAGCACCTAGCTGATCCCATAGCTTTGCTATTGTGAATAGTGCTGCAATGTACATAGGTGTGCAGGAATCTCTATTTTATTTTGATTTACATTCCAGTGAGTATAAGCCCCAGGAGTGGTATCAGGGAGGATCATAGGATACATTGTTGTAAGTTCTTGAGGATACTGCATACTAATTTCATTAGTGGCTGTACTAATTTACATTCCTACCAACAGTATATAAGGGTTTCTTCCCCCTCCCCCATCCTTGCCAGCATTTGCTTTTTTGAAGACTGAAGGTCTGATTGGAGTCACATGGAATCCCAGTGCTGTTTTAATTTACACTTCTTTTATGGCAAAGGATGTTGCATACGTCTTGGATTTATTAGCCATTTTTACTTATTCTTTTGAAAACCATAGGCAGAGATTTGTATGTCAAGCTTACCTTGGATCTACTGTTGAGTCTCAGGAGAGGCCATGATCTTGCCTGTGCCTACCCTGTGAGCAGCCATAATTTCCCACTGAATGGGAGGGAGAAAAGCAGTCACAGAGATGAGAGGAAGCCAGCTGAGATACGGAGATGCAAAGAAAAACGGGTGGGAGGCAGATAGCCAGAAGAGTGCAATGACTTCATAACCTTTGTGGTTTCTGCAATTCTGGGTGAGAGGTAAGGAATGAAGTGAAAGGGAAAAGGAGAAGTTTCATGCAGAAAAGGGCTGCATGTTTTAGCCAAAAGCCCCCGGGTTAATAAATAATGATGCAAGGTTCACCTCAGAGGTGAACCCTTTTCTATGGCTTCTAGGAATTAAAAAAAAAAAATCCCTATGTAGCCTTCCTAGCAGGCTTCTTTCAGGACATCAGAAGGCACCTCCCATGGCGAGGCTGAGCCTGTCAATGAATTCTTCAACATTTCCTTTTTAAACATTTGCTTCTCTAAGTCAGAACCTGCAAGGAGGGGGTTGGTGAGAGATCAGAACTCTCTCAGAATGACAGGGCTAAAGGTCCTTGCTCCCTTCTGCAGAGGGTGGAGATGGCTCAGGTATCAGGCCACTGGGTGGAGACAGGGTCAAACCAGCAATTCACTGAAATACTGAGAAGCTAAGAGCAAAACACAGCTCTTTCCAAAATGAAGGAACGACGCAAATAGGGAGAAATTAGTGAGTGTAAAAAGCTTCCTGTGCACTGTGTACTAAGCTTCCTGCATATGCTTAAAGCAGAAACAGCCTTCTCATGCTGTCTGAAATGGCACTCAGGCACAGTGACGTGTGCCCACCCTTTCTCACAGAGACTGGGCACAGCACTAGTATGACAGGGACAACAACAAGGGGTCCCCAGGGATTTAGAGCAGCTTCTTGGACAATTTTGCCATTTGGTTATTGAGTGTAGTTTTAAATCCATATTAACATACTAAGTCTTCTTTTTCTTTGCAGTCATTGTGTTATCAAATGCAGTCATCATACACTGTGGCAGCTTATTAAACCTATGGCTATCAAATTTGGCTAAATTGAAATGTACCTTTTAAGATCAAACATGTTTTTGGTATATAAAAATTCCACGAGGCTTTGAAAGGTCAGCAACTTCCCAAAGCACAAATAAGCCACGCAATTTTTAGAAGGTAAATAATCTCCAAACCAGATTTAATTGCTCCATTTTGAAGTCTCACTGTAGACAAATATCAGCTCTGCTTCATGTTAGGTATGTTGCACTTGGTGGAAGATTTGAGAAAGCATATTTTAAAGAGATAACATCTGCAATTTTGATATCATTTGAGAAAAACCCAGGTGAAATTAAATTTAGGAGTGTTTCAAGAATTATCTGAAGTTTCTTATTAAAGAAAAAAAAATCCCTTGGGGATTTGAGTGTTTGAAGGATATAGCACAAGGATATAGCACAATTACACTAAAAGCTTACTATCTAAATGTGGTGGTTATGGTTTAAATCTTAAATAATTAGGAGGCATACTTTGTGATATGAAGCTCTTGCCTTAATAGCATAATCTAGTGATTTAAATTGCTATCATAGTACCCTTAAATGTTCATTGGACCAAGGTGATTAACTTGCATCTTTTTTTTTTAAACAATACACATTACCACTCCTTTCCTATGTACAGGTACCCTGAAAGAAAGCTCTTAGGATATATATTTATATATATATGTGTGTGTGTGCATATATATATACATATATGTTCTAAGATATATATCCTATATATATATATATGGATAAGAATGATTTCAGTACTTTTTAAAAAATTATTTATAATCTTTAAGTAGTTGTAGAGTTGCCATTTAACAAAGTAGTTTATGAATATAATGCTGTTTGATCAGTGTCACCCCTTTCGACATTCTCACCTGATTATTGTACTTTTGAAGCATGTTATTACAGGAATATTATTTAGCCTCTCTGAGTCTTTTTTCTCATGGACAAATTAGGTAGTAATTAGTAACTCTTTCTTGAATGTTTCTGGTGAATAAGGCACTGAGAAACCTGGAGATGTGATGTAACCCCTGTCTGCTCTCAAGCAGGAATTGGATGCACCTCAGTTACAATCAGGGATGAGCTGAGAAGATGTACAAACAAAACTGTAATGCCTCCGAATTTCTCATAAAGAACAGTACATGTGGTTCTTCATTATACTGTGGGAAGTGCAGGGCAGCCTAATGTCTCTCCAGTGTGAAGCACAGATTACTGCTGATGAGCCATGGGAGTAGATGCCCGGAGATGCATTTGGGCTGCTCCACTTAAGTGCCACACAGTCATACCTGGAATAGCTATTATTACTTACCTTCTCCTTGACCCTAAAGCCTTGGCATTGTCATCTCCTGAAACTATCAGACTGGAATATGGGCCTCAATAAAGCTCCAAAGGCCTTAGTTGCTGGAGATCAAGTTCATGTGGTTGGTTCTGAAACCTGAGAAGCTAAATGGTCCTTATTTTCATGAGAGACTTGGGAGGAGACCTAGGACTATTGGCTTTAGAGCATATACATTCACCAATGCAGAGGAGTGCTCTCTGGAATCTATATGTAGTTGATATATTTTAAGTAATGGTGAATTTCAGCAATGTTAAAATAGCACTACCCCAAAAGTCATGCTTTGCCATTCCATAGGCTATTTTTACATGAAGAATCTTTGATTGTGGTAGAATGCAAAACTCCTATTTTTGTGAAGTCAGAAGAAGAACTGAAAATATAAATGAAGTTAGATACGAATCATGGTTACTTTACTATATTTGGGGCTGAAAAGAGCGACCAGCACTTCCTAATAAATTATTTTAACAATAGCAGACAATATTTTGCTGAGTTTGGGGCTTACTGAACTAGGGAAAGATGCATTTCTCAGTTACTAAATTTTCAAACTTCCATTTACAAGATGAAAACACCAGACATGGAGGCTTTGCTACCAGTTGTTTAGTGTTATTTCATAATAAACTCAGCATGACTGGTATTACAGTGGGCTAATGGACAAATGTGAAAGGGAACTTTGTCAACAGTAACACTCCAGTTCTGTAAATCTTCATTGTTTTGTGCCAAAGATTGTTCTAGACGTCAAGAGAGTTTATTATATATAAGACAAAATACATAAACTGAGTCTCAAAATATGTCATAAAACTGTGTCAGAGGCTAAGCACTGATGGCTCACACCCATAATCCTAGCTACTCAGGAGGCTGGGATCTGAGAATTGTGATTTGAAGCTATCCTGGGCAGGATAATCCCTGAAACTCAGGGTAAGACTAAGGTAACTCAGCCCTAAAATTTTGTTGTTGTTTTCTTGTATAATAAAC